TATTGCTAAAAGAGGGAAATATTGTCATGGGCGCGTGTCTCAAACAAGACACGCTTATCTCTCCAAATAAAATTTATGATTAAATTTATTATTCTGACCGAAGTTAATGGCTTAATGAAATGTACCAAACGTAGTTAGCACAGAACACAAGTCATTTGACAGTATTTTAAAATAGTCATAACCTCTCCCTCCACTTTCATGTAATAAAATGTATTACGTCATAATAGCGCGTTGGCCGGTGATATATGCGCATGAGTAAAGCAAAGATCACGTGTGAACTGTTCTGAAATATGGTGTGGCAACCGTGCATTGAATTCCGATTGGGGGAATTTTTGTTAAGGTTTTCTGGAAACAAATTATAAGCAGTTTCCCCATTCAACCCAAAGACAGAGCCAGCCCATAAGACATGATATTTATAGGACAAAACATTTTACGACTCACAAAGATAATTATTTTATTCTTATTCTACATCGAAATCTCTGATATTTTAGAACCCCAAAAGTAAAAGTATATATATATATATATATATTTTCTGTAATTGTGTCAGTGAAATGTGGTAAAAATTGTCTTGGGTGTAGATAATACTGATGGATGGTGTTTCTACTTTTAATATTTCAAATTGCAGGGACAAGGCGGCAGACATGAACGTTTGTAGATCCGGGATGTCGACTTGTGTCATCGAGAACCTACCGAATGCAAGCGATTACGCCTACAAGCACAGAGAGAAATTAATGGTGGAGAAACATAAAGAAATGTTGAAGGGGAAATGTAACCGTCCTTCCACACACACACACTCGTCCTTCTTCTGATGTAGTCACGGGTTCGAACCCAGTAGCTAGGCCGGCGCTGGTGGGGTTACAACGTTTGTTACTTCGGTGCGCGGAAGGTGTTAAAGGTTTTCTCAGGATACCTTGACATAGATTCAGTCGGTGGGCGAGGATCTCCGACCCTCAGGGATAAATACGGAGAGGTCTTAATTGGAGCGGCGCTCGCGGGAGGGCAGCGACGTCGCTGAGCTGGTGCAATTCTTCACGACACAGTTGTTAAAAATCACTAAATTTATTCACGAAATGAGACGCACTGATGCAAAGACACAATTATGTTGATATTCAGGCATTGCAATGAATCGGCTGTTTATGTACGACTTGAAGACTGTCCTTAAATTTTGAATTGAATGCGGCGATCCGATTCGACACCCGAAATCACCCCCATGACGTCGGAAACGCTCCGAAAAACCACGAGGCGTCTGTTCTAGAGCAAACGTCATTCAATATCTGGAAAGGCTTAAAGTTTTCGCCTCGTAAACAACTTTTACGAGTACGAAAGCTTTGTGAGTGTCACGGGAGGTCTCGAGGATTGTCGCTACTCTCTTCCAATTTAAATATATTAAACAATGCCCTAAATTCATAAAATCAATTACATTTGGATTAAATAAGGCGTTCCAAATATAATTTCATCACGCGTCCTTCGTTTGTATAAACAGGATTAATATGCCAAAGCCTGGTTATCTCTTCATCTCAAGGTTGACCCGATAGGTAATCGAACTACGAACCTGGACTGGAACAGGAAAATCAGTAGTTTGCGGTTGATTACAACCGCGACGAACACATTCATTTTAATTACTT